TGCCATTTACGGCACACTGTCCATATTTTATTTTTCCAATATTTATTTTTGTCCTTTCTCTCTAATTTTCTGCCACCAATACTCTAACCGTCTCTTACTTATTTCAATCGCGGGTGTGTTCAGCTTTCCATTGTTGTCCCTAAAACCCAAGGCTTCCTGTAGGCTCGTGCCTAAACGTACACCTGGGTGGATATCTCCACATTCAATCAGAACATGCTCCGCCGTTTCCTTATCTTTCCCGCAGCATGTGCATTGTTCTTCTTCTTTACTGAATCTTGCTTTATAACTACGCGTTCTAAGGCAACCCGATCTCGCTTCAAACAGTAAAGCGCTTCCCCTTGAATTATCGTAAAATGCCTCCCTCCTTATTTCATTTTTGCCCTTTCGGTAGTTACTCAAAGCCGGTTTTTGCTCCATAGCTGCCATCCAGTAAATCCTCTCCGCCTCCCTGACTTTTCCCTTAACGCTCTTTGTTGACATATGGCTTACAATACCAGCCGTATATTTACTAGCGAGTCTTCTAGTTCTTTTTCTCCACTGTGTGTCCACGCTCTTCCTATACAAATAACGGAACACCTTCTCTGCCCATCTACTCTCCTTCATATTTCTTAGCCTTTCTTCGAACCTTATTTTGCTCTGCGCTTCCCTCGCCTCAAAACCTGCCCACCCCATATCGCCCCTTACAGCCTCGTTTGTCGTCTTCCCGTGAGCACCCAACGCGAGGCGTCCCACAGTCCTTTGATTTACATCCATTCCCGATTGCACCTCTGCCCTCATGCACACCACTGAGTTCCCAAAAGTAAGCCCTGGAACCATTACACCCTTCCACAGACCTCGAAGCACCTCATACCTATTCAGTGGCGTAACTAGATAGGACGGCGCCCAGGGCAAATATATTTCCGCGCCCCTCATTATGCCCGTGATAATTTCCGCGCCCCCCCCCCCCCATTAAAAGCGCTAATGTAGGCTTCCGCGATTGCCTACTGGCGCGCGGCGGGCCATTTCGGAGGCCAAGGGCCACCAGTTCTGATTTCGATGAGCTACGCCCGCGTTTTTGTATAGTATTTTTCTTTTTTTATTCAAACTTCCGGAAGTCCCTTACCCGTCATTGTTCTCTTCCAGTCCACACTGCAAAAATCTTGACGGCACGGGCGCTTCCCAGGCCCAAGTTTCTCGTACCTAAGCTTTCGCGCTATTTGTGCATCCCAAGGAATGCAGGGTGAGTACAAAACAAAGCAACCAGCTAGACACCGCGCCCTCGGGTCTGGTATGGGGGTTAAACTGGTCGGAGTGTTCTGCCGTTTCGCTCCGTTCGCTGTTCCATTGATGGAGGTCATCCTTGTGCGGCCGCATTCTTTCAGGGAAGTTCTTGGTTTCTCCAACGTACGAAGCGGGGCAGTCGGCACATGCTGTCGGGTACACTACGCTCTGCGCTTTTTTCGCAGGTGCGTGTTCTTTGGGCCAAAGGATGAACCTGCCCATGGCGGTGGATGGCATGTGGGAAACGTTGACCCCCGCCCTTCTATTGCTTTGCTGGCGCCCGCGATGCAGGGAATCAACAAACGTCGCCGTCGTGTCACGCTTTCTCCGTCTTTCCTCCAGAGAACTCTGCGAATAAACGCCTTTGTTTAGCCTTTGGTGCCGAGGTCACGGATTATATTCGCCCTTCCTTCCGCCGCTGCGTGGACGATTAGTCGTTGGACGATCGGCTATTTCGTTGGAGTTTTCTGTTCTTACTCAAAAAAGGTGCATTCGAACTTTTTTATTTTATTTTGTTTACGTACGTGGTTGGTTTCAGGGAAGCTTTCAGTAAGTGGTTTGGGAGGCTGGTGGGGTTCGCTGAAACTCATCTAACCCAGTGCTGCGGAGCACAAAACAAAGCTTAGCCGAGGGTCATGGGAAGGCACGGAGGTAGCGCAGCAAAATGAAAATAGAGGATCCTTTTCCCGATGCAAAAGCCATTGCGGCAACCCTTTCCTTCACCACCATCCCCACTTCCAGTCGTACATTACAACCTCGCCCCTCCCCCCTTCCAGGCGGTTTTACGGAAAAAAACATTGACAACCTTTCCAGGGGGCGCCAACCCGAGGACTCGGCTTGGCGCCCCCTCCCTAGTGGCGCCCGGGGCACTTGTACCCCCTTGCCCCCCCCTAGTTACGCCACTGTACCTATTGTATCCCCACAACGCTCTGTGCTTCATTATTGCCGCATTCCTCTTTCCTTTTGCTGCCGAGGCTTTTTCCTGTACCTCCATGTATCTATCACTCTCATTTACCCATACTCCAAGGTACTTGTATTCACTTACCCTCGGTATTTCTTGGCCTTGTATGGACACCGTCTGATCACAGGGATCATTGAATACCATCAATCCACACTTCGTTACACTGAATCCTAGTCCAAGAGCTTCACCTTCCCTTCCGCATATATTCGCCAGCTGCTGTATATCATCTCGACTGTCCGCAAATAAGACGATATCGTCCGCATAAAATAAACCTGGAAGCTTCTGCTCAATCATCATGCCGCCCTGTTTGTGTGACAGATTAAAACCAATGTTGCTACCTTCTAGCGCTTTTTCCATACTCACCATGTACAGCATGAATAACAGCGGGGACAAAGGACATCCCTGTCTCAGCCCCCTGCTAACCTCAACGTTCTCTTTGCTACGCATTCCTTCCCACTCTATGCAAACTGTATTTTCTCGGTATATCTCCCTCAAAAGCTGTATACAGTCGTCGCCCATGCCCATTCCTTTCAATATATCCCACAAAATTTCCTGATTAACGTTGTCGTATGCCCCAGTGATGTCTAGAAAAGCCACGTACAAGGGCCTATTCTCTATTTTAGATATTTCTATACACTGAGTGAGAACAAACAGGTTATCGTCTAACCGCCTGTCGACTCGAAATCCGTTCTGAAGTTCTCCCAAAATATCGTTATGTTCGGCCCATGTTTCTATTTTCATTTTTACTGCTTGCATCGCCAACCTGTATAGTACCGATGTAATGGTTAGTGGTCTATACGAGCGAATCTTGTCCTTTTCTCCCTTGCCTTTATAGATTAAGTTCATTCTACTTTGTCGCCAACTGTCCGGTATTTGTCCGTCCTTTAAGCTTTTTTTCTACTGCTTTTAACAATGCTTCTTTAGTGTTATGTCCTAGTTCGTTAATGAGGCTAACGGGAATCGCATCTAAACCCGCGGCAGTGCGCTTTGGAATTTTTCCTTCGGCCTTTTTCCAGTTGAAATTATCAAGTACTAGCTCTTCCTCTGTTGCTTTCTCCGCCACACTTTTACTCACCGGGGAGATCCCCTGGACGCTCTTTTGAAACGAATCGGCTGTTACCTTTTGGATGTAACCTAGCGCTTCGTACCCTTCCAATTGATTTCCTCCTTCATCTAGAATATGTTGTTGCGTTGTGACAGACTTCCTACCTAGCGCCTTTATGTGGCTCCAAAAAATCCTAGGCGCGGCCTCCTTTTTTTCCTGTATCTCTGTCATCCAGCGTTCACTTTCACCTTTAATTTTTGCCCCTACCAATTTCTGTACAAGGGATTTTTTCTCTAAATATATTTCCCATATTTTTTTTACTTCGTCCTGCGGCCGCTTCTCCTTTTTTGCCTTTCTATGCTCCCGTGATGCTTCGCGTCGCTTCTCGATCGCCTCCCGGATTTCCTTGTTCCACCAACTTTTTGGCTTCCTTTTTCCTTTCCAGCAAACAGTTTTCTTCTCTTTCCCTATCTCCTTCGTCATTAGATGTAACAGCTCACTATACTCCCAGTCCTTGCCTGGTATTTCGCCTACTTCTTCCTCGACTCTTGCGGCTATATTTATTATTTGTTTGTCATTTAAATACGAGCTGCCAGACTTTGATTCCATGCTCATATTTTCAGTTTCGTATCCCATTTGTAATGTTATTCGTTTATGATCACTACCCAAGCTGTTAATGCCTTCCTCGTCTATCCTCATTTCTGTCAGTTTGTGGTAAATTCCTTCAGTCATGAGACAATAATCAATACTTGATTGCTTGTTTCCGACTTCCCATGTGATCTGCTGGCCGTCACATTTAGGCCCCGTGTTAACTATCTCCAGACTATGTTGCTCGCAAAGATCTAGTAATAACTTCCCATTGGTGTCTGAATATCCGTCAAGGTCATGTATGTGGGCATTCATGTCCCCTAGAAGGATGATTTCGGCCCCATTACCAAATTCCTTAATATCCGCACTCATGCAATCCACTATCTCCTGATTCTTTTCTCTGCAGTTATTCCCCGTCCACAAGTAGGCTACCCCTAGCCACGTTTCCTTTCCACCTACTGTGCCCAGAACACAGAGGTGCTCTGAACACGTCTGTTTCACTCTAACCCATTTGGCTCCGCGGTGAATTAGCATTCCTACACCCCCACCTTTCCTTTCCGATATGGTCCTGTTACACCCTTCCCAAACATAATTTTCAATATGTGGTGGCTCTTCCAAGTCTCTAAGGTGTGTTTCTGTAACCGCATACACGCCTATCTGTTCTTTGTTTAACTGCTCCTCAATCTCTAACCATTTTGCCTTCTTTCTGCCACCCTGCATGTTTATGTAACTAATTGCAACACGCGCCTTTTTCCTTTTTTTTTTACCTTTTTTCTGGTTTTTCGCAATTCTACCTGTCAAAGCGTCCTCCTGGTTGTTTTCCCTGTTACGAACTACCCCGGACTCCGAAGGGCCCGTAAGCCCCCCAAAAAAGCTACTGCGCGACCTGCCAGTCGCCAGCCCACCTCGTGTCCAAGCCTCTTATCGAAATGAATCTTGTCTCTTTGGAATCCACCCCACCTGTGCATCTCGGGAGCGTATATTTGCACCTCAACAGCTCGGGGTCACGTGACCCTAGTTGCAACGTCACGTATGACGTCATTGGTTAAAGCGATCGGCTTCAACTGGCTATGTCTTATTGTGACTACGTCTTGTTAAGCGACTCTAAGGTTGCTAAGGTTACGTGATAAAAAAAAAAAAAAGAGGGAAGGCTTGTTTTGTTGTCATGGTTCGCGAATCCCCCAGCGTGGTTGTGTGCCTATAGTTTCTAGGATCTACTCTACTCTACTACGCGTGGTCGTCATCCACGCTGCGTAGTTCGTTGGCGGCTTGATTATGGCAGATGAAGCAATCGTACGATCGCATCTCCTGGACTTTGAGAGTGGCGAACACAACTGGCGTGGATACGTGAAGACCGATCAAGAACTGGAGCACCTAGAAAGAGCCCTTCTCGGCCTAGGAGTGTCATTCAAGGTGACATCCTCCAGGAAACATGCCGAAGAAAACCTACATAAGGCAGGAAAGCGTAAGTATATAAGCGTTGATTATTAAAATCTAAGGGCATTTCTGCTTTTTTTGTGATTGTTTAGCCATTTTCACGAGTATTACTAAGCGCGGTGATATGTACATGTACCTTACGCAGTTCTGTTAGGATAAGAAGTCTGAGTTTTCTTCAATAAAACTAGTTGTTAGAAAGCGCTTGTCCGGTGTGTATCTCTTCTTTGTCCCCGTGTTTTCTTGCGCGCTTCTCAAGGATAAAATCTGCGTAAATTCCATGCCGTGTGCTGCACTATAATGCTTGGTTTACATGTTCTCGGGAGCACCGACTACCAGTTGGCAGCGTTTTCTGACTATGCCCTAAATGCGTTGCAGGGCCCAACTTTAGGGTTGGATGAAGCCAATTTTCGCTGTAATACATAATCTTGAAGGCCACGTTTTGGAGCAGTTTCTCTACTTGTAGCATAGCTGTAGCAATTACTGCAGTGTTCCCAGTACTATGTAGTAATGAGCTAAATTCACTGTTCACTGAGAAATGGCATTTTTGTAATATTAGTCTGTCTGAATGTTCCACTATTAGTGCTCTTGTAGATAGTGCACTCAACAGTTAATGACGTTCCTTGGTGGTACAACCTACGAGTTCGTAGGGCATTCGTCTTTATTGCCAGAGCTAAAATAGAAGCAGACTGCATTCAAAGCACTATGTCTGTGCTGATCAAGCATGTTAACAACACCTTGCATTATATTATAATGAATGCTACACAGTAAAATTTGTAAAGCAATAAAAAAAATTGTGTTCAATGTTTCTGCAGTGAAGCTTATGTTCTCCATCAACCGGGGAGCTGTGCCTCTGAACTTGCAGCTGCCCTTCAGAGTACTATCATTGACTGACAAAGGGTGCCTGTATGGAAAAGACAAGCACTCACACAAAGGTCAATCAGAGGACTCTGTAAGTAAATGAATTAAGATTGTTGTGTACAAATGAGACTACTGTTGAATGCTTATAAAAGTGATTTCAGCCAGCATTAAAAGTTTCTTTCGACCACAGTGATTTCGCTGAAAGATATTTTTATGTACATCATTTTATCACTATTGAATGTGTGGGATCTTTGGCACTTGCCACCAGCCTGTTCCTGACCAGCTGTCCCCTGGTCCTCCCTGCTGTGGTCTCGTTCCTGCCTTCGGCCCTGCAGCCACCTCCACCCTGCCTAATCCACCTGACAGCCTCTAAAGTCGCCTCGGCGGCTGGTTCGCCCACTCAAGCTTTGGCCCAGGCCCGAGCGTGGTCGCTCCGGCTTCCGTTCCTGGCTGTCTGCTGTTCCGGCCTGCCGTTCCTGTGAGGCCCCCATCCCAGCGACTTTCGGCAGTTGGCTGCCACACGCAACTTGCAGCCACGCCTCGTACGTTCCCGGCTGCCAACCTCTCCAGACCGGCGAACTTCAAGCACGCTAGCTGCCCGCCCTTGTTGTGCAGTCTTCCCCGTTACTCCTGGGCTGTGGACCTTCTCCCGGCAGTGGGCTCTCCCTGGTGGTGGAACTTTTGGTGGGACGTTAAGTGTGACCATGGCCGACCTATGGACTCGTATCTTCGGGAAGACGACATCACCCTTTTGGACTTTGCCCCGTTTGCCAGTCCCCTTGCGGCTGAGCTGACCTTGCCACTTGGCCTCGGACAGCCTCTTTCACAGGCTGGCCTCGGTCTTTAGGAGGGGGGAATGTGGGAATCGAGCGCGCCGTCCCCTTTGGCGCCTCGTTCCCCAGCTAGCGTGTGTGTTGGCCCCGCGCGGCTTGAGCGCCGGGAACCGCTGCTAATCGGCAGTATGGCGACCACGGTGGTGGCGCCAGGCCTCTTTGTCTGGTGCGAGCCATGTGTCGGCTTCCCGGCGCGCGGCACACGTCCGGGCATGTCTGGACAAGCCACCGCGCTAGCTTACGTCACTGTGCAACGCCTGTCCTCATTGGCCGCCAGTGACAACCCCCTTCCCCCTGAGCTCGCTTCTGTCTGGCGCGGGCTTGCCCGCGTCAGATGCTCTCAGGCCCGCACGAGAGGTTGACGCGCTGCTCTGGCAGGCGGCTTCTCGTTCGTGCACTCGACTGCTGCCCCTTTGTGTAATAGTCGTAGCGCCACTGGCAAGCGTACATGATCGGTCTTGGAAGTTACCCTGACGGCCCGCAAACCCATGATTGTCGCACTGTGCTGCATCTTGGGTTAATAAACCCGTGTTTGTTGACAACCTGCCTCGAGTGCCTTTTCTGCGCCGTGTTGGAGAGTCGACGAACCCAGCTGCAGCGTCTTTGTTCGCTGCGGCAGTGGAGAACGTCGCGTCCCTGCCCGGTCGCCTCGTAGGTTAAGCGTCGTGCAAACCTATCTCCACACACTTAAGGAACAAAGGACACAGTACATCACATTGCAAACCAAGAAATAGGCATTTATTTGCACCTTTTACACAGCAAGCCCGCTAGCGGAGTTATACAAATAATAGCATGTCAGTGTAACACGCTGTAGAATCGACAATGTTTGACTCACCATGCCCAGTTAAGCAGCGAGTAAAGTTTAACCCTGCAAGAAAGCCAAGCATATGCAGTTTGGGGTCATGTATCACAAATAGAGGTGTATTCGGGTCAATGGAAAGGAGCCTGTGGAGCTCCTTATGACATGCAATGCGCTCCAAAGAACAAAAAAGAGGCATTCATTCCTTTGGGCCCTACGTGTCCTCACTATCAGGTAGCACCACTGTGGGGGAGCTGGCTGACAAGGCATGTAAACGCTATCAGGGAACGAGAGCATCCCTACATCCCCCAGCAAAGCACACACTATGTATGTGCTCTGTGAACAGGAGGCAGTTCATGTGGCGTAAATGTCATCATAGCATGTCCGTGCACTGGCGACACCACCCCTTGTTGATATCACTGGCATTTGGTGCTTGTCAAGCCCTGTATCCACACCTAGACAGGTGGCTTGTCTGCAGACTCAATGACAAAACACCAGGTCAAGACTGCTCAAAGGCAATGCAGTAGTGCTGTCTGCATCAACGTGCCTTGCCGCCAAGACGGCCAGAACAGCTGGCTCCTGTTGCAGCTGCCAAGGGTTGCGTGCTTTCATGTGGGCACTTTTATTGTGTTACCGTACATGCACACAATAGCACATATATTAAAAAAAGTGTCTTCCTGGTACGATGTGCAGGTGATATTCCCAGCACCCCAAAAATTGGTAGTGTTGTGTATTGAAAAGGTAACATGCAGAGCAGTAATGAAGGGCACTAGAGGTGCAACATGTAACATCAAACATGTCAAGAAATTTTTTTAGTGCAAGTTAGAAGTTTGTAGAATCCCTCTGTCCTGCCGGGCACCCTACATTGGACAGAAGAGCAGGTGCCTCAACAAAAGGCTTCAGGAACACAAGAATTTATGCAGTAGAATTTAAATCGACGGAAATCTTGCTCAGCACTGCTCCGCCTGTAAGTGTAACCCGAATTTCAGAGACAACTATTTTGGTATACAGCAAGGACAAAATTAAAAGAACAATTGTAGAAACATCTTGTATGCTGCTGGAGAAGCTAACCGCATGCATGAGCTTTCCGTCCACAGCACTTACAGACAGGCAAGTGGCATTTCTAGGAAAACAAAGATAATTTTAAATGCTGCACATGTTTCACCTTGATTTTGATAAGGCATTTTTTAAATGTTAATTTCCAAGAGATAAATGCAATTTTTTTTTTTACTCTTAGCATTCATGTTTGCTTATTCGCAGTTTGCCCACAGCGCCCTCTTTTGAATTTCAAGTCTTTGCCCTCCCCTTTTTGGTGTTTTTGTTTCATTAAATCAATTGTTAGAGATACACTTTTTGTGTCTCATTCCTGTCGGCACTCTAACTTTGCGGCACTGCCTTTATCTTCCACTATGTTGCAACTAGCCCCTACACAAGCTCTTCTGAATCCGAATCTTGATTTTCGTGCTCCAAAAGCAACATTTTGCTGCTACAAAAACTGCTTCAAATTCTATTTTGGCTATTGCACCCCTGCACATGTTCAGATTATGAGAAACTAGTAAAAACTAGTTTGGTATTTCAAGAAAGCCAATGTATGCAAAAAAGCCGGCAAACAATTTCTTCAGTTAATTGAACAGTGGAACATTTTATACTGCATTATATCATATTTACCCTCAAGCATAAAAAACAAGTTGCTCCCTACTGCCATCTAATAAAACGCTACAATGAATAGCTTTTGCATTTTTTTAATGCTCATTGCATGGCTTCCACTCAGATGGCAGACAATGGAGGCCAACCTGATGTGGACTGGACAGCAGAGACGTTCAAGAAAAAAAGAGTGAAACTCCAAAGCACAAAGAAGAAGGGATGCACAGCAACTATGCACATTAAGAAGGTTGAGGTGTTCCCAGACTTTGAGGTATGAATATCCATTAAATGGCGGCCATTCCATCTACATTATCTAGTTTTCTGTTCAATGCATTCAATGTGCATGCTGTTCAACTAAAGAGCTTCATAAATATTCTAACCCAAGATGTAGTATAATAAGCCTCTGTTTCAAGTGTTTCACCATACTTGTCACACCTTCGTATTGCATCTTGCGGTAAATGGTGCAAAAGCAGGACTCGGAATAGCACAAAAGCACTGCCCTCATGTTTTGTTATATTCTCAGCTCTCATATATAGCACTCTTTGCCAACACAAGACCTATTCATGGTGGGTTACGGCCGACATATATCTACCTCGTGGAGATCATTCAGGCTTGTGCACAATGTCCTAGCGACTATATTAACGCGATAGCGTTAGAGAGCTCGTTTCGCATAAATCCCGTCGCCGACGTCGGTAACAGCGTCGCCTGTGAGCGAAAAATCGAGAAAGGTGCAAATAAAATAAACAATAAAAATCTTCGGTCCCATTGAAGATCGAACCCGGGGCCATTTGCGTGGCAAGCAGGCGTCCTACCACAAAGCCACGATGTTACTTGCAACTGCTTTGGAAAAAAACACTACATAAATGTCATGTAGTGGAAGGAGTCTCCTTAACGCATTTTGTTTGGCAGGTGTCGCGACGAAAATGAGCCCATTCGGCAATTTGTAGACGCATTGGCGAGGCCATCAAACTACGTTTTTTGCGCGACGCCATGCTTCGAAAAAAGCCGGGATAGTGCAGCCATCGCCGCTAAAAACACAGACGAACTTCCAAAGAGCTCCAAAAATGGACAACTATGTCCATCTAGCGGAAAACATATCAAGCCAACGCCTCCTTTCTAGAGGAGGCATTGATCAAGCAAACAGTAAAAATTAGATAATGTGCTGCCATCTGCGAGGCATTGTGAGAAATATGTCTTGACTAGCACAGGGAAGTGCTTTAGATCGAAAACTTGTACCATTACTATAGATACATCGCGCGCGCGTCTATGTGCGTGTGTGTGTAACAACACACATTAATAAGTATGCACTTAGTGGTTGAAGTGCGCACTAGGGGCCAGATTTCGCTGTTGCGTTCAACTCTTAAAGGCGAAGCTTAAAGGTCCCCCAATTTTTTCGGCATGCTTGTGATTACTAGTGAATTAGGTGCAGCAATAACACTTCACAATGCTAGCTGTATTTCACTATGTTAACAGCGGTGACATTACTGTAAAGTCTGCATATCTTATGGTAGTGCTACATATTTGCCAAGAAAAGTGCCTTTGAAAAAATTCTTAACATGTTTGCGTAACTTGTTCTCTTGATCGCCCTTAGATTGCAGTGCAAGGATGTACGAAGAACCGGATCACCATGCTGAAGTCTGCTGCATTGACTAACTTGTCACAACAACTTAATGGAGACAATCCACCAAGGTCAGAAATGCGACTTTACGTCACAATAACAAAGATGTCATGCCACACAGAACATGACTTTGGCAACTTCATGAAGTATGGACAGACGGTGGACCACAGTATTATTGAAAGAATTAATGACCTCGTTCAGGAAGGCATTACGTCTGTGCATGAAGTGAAGACATGCCTTCGCTACTATGTACAGGACGTGCTCTTCAATGGCAAGGAAAAACCTGATCTAGATTGCAGAGCATTTTACCCGACATCCAAAGACATCCGCAACCATATTCAGGAATCTTTGAGGCAAGGGCGCTGTAGCAATCTGGATCAGGAGAATGTTGCAATGCTGGTATCTGCACTGGAGAGAGAAGAACCAACATCAAAGGTGCTCTTCCGGCCATATTGCTACACAAGTGAAGCAAAAACGACAATCCCCGAGGCCGACGATGACCAGATTAATGTAGAGGAGACCTTGGCAAAACAATGCGACAGGACCTTGCTGTTCTGCTATCAGTCTCGCTTCATGGCAGAACTACTAAAGCAGTATGGCAACAATGTGACATGCCTTGATGCCACAAACAAGACAACAGATTACAGCTTGCCACTGTTTTTCCTTGTTGTAAAAACACC